TTGCTCAAGATCATTTTAAAAGATCACATGAAAGTTTGGCTCCTGAAAAGGAAAACACTATAACGAAATGGTATACTTTAATACTTTTACACATGGCTGCACGTTCTCAAAAGCAACAGAAAAAGTTCCATATTTATTAACACAAACCTTGATCTATTAAAGTGCTTTGCTTGTGTTTTTTTAAGCTTTAACTTTATCATGACATTCATTGAAGTGCTATATTTTCAATTGACCACACATTGAGCTTATAAAAATGACACATTGCTCAACTTTATTTATTTTTTTTCCAACAAAAGCAAAAGTAATTGTAACCATTCATTTGTGGATGCAATAGGCTCCCATTCTATGATTTACACCAACATGTGCAGAGAACAAAACACCTTGACAGACTCGTGCAGCTGATGGGAGGATTGCAGATAAGCCTCACCGGAAATGGAAAAGTCGTCTGAAAAGGCTGTGGGGGGTATTAATTAAACACCACCCAATTTAATCATAGCTAATTATATTTGAAGTGAGGGTTGGGAGGAGTGGGAGGGCTGGGGGTGATTCTATCTGCACTCATTAGTACAGCCCAGCTTGTCTGATGATTAAATATGGCTTATGTCATCAAAAATATGTTATAAATACCCCATCTTAATTTTAAAGCTATCACTTTGTATTGATTCGTTTAGTAAAGGCCAGCATTTGAATGGTTACTTAAATAAAGACAGAGAAATAAAAGAAAACAAATCTGCTTCCAAGAAACTTGATGTTCTGTCAAGCAATAAAGACAATAAAACGTATGTGAGCTAAAAAGCATTAGTCTAACAACTTCACTGGTTAAACTGTTAATTAATGTTGCCTGCATTTAACCATTATATAACATTTAATTAGTCTTTTCAGCTTCCCTGGCTTTAAATCTCTTCTTCTGCACTCTATCTTGTCAATAATACACCATGCTCTTCTTCTCTCTGTTTCTTTATCTGTGCTCATCAGACACTGTTTCCCATTTATAAACATGCAGGAGCTGAGACTGTGACCCTCGACTCCCAGCTGACCTGCAGGTCACCGACAATAAGGACGAGGTTATTGAAAGGCATGGATGTGTCTTATCTTTGTGTGGCGACCAGGGGAGGTGTAGACAGAGCAGCCCGATGGGAAATTGAAGATAAATGAAAAGTTCAGATCTTTTGAAGTGGGGTTCTGTGGAAAGGTTATGGTCAATTAATATCTTACCTGCTGTAGATAGCTCTTTCAACAAGCTCGTTTTGTAGAAAGGGAATTTATTTCTAGCTCTATGAGCTATTTGCAAGTCACCTCAGGGCAAAGACCAAAGAGGATCATTGCCATTTTAAAACAACTCCATTCTTAATCCATAGCTGTTTATGCAAACACTTTTTCAAAATCTTCACATTGAGATCAATGTCTCGTTAGTTATTGTGGCAACAAAATCTTTATTTTTCTTCTGTAAATATTTTTATTCGCCCTTGCAAAAAAACAAAAAAGCAAAAAGTGAATAGTTTTCCAAATGAATGGTGTAAATGTTTATACAACAAAAAAACATACACAACACAGCAGATGTAAATACTTTTATGGTAAAAACAGAAAAAAAGACCAACACACTGCCAGATATCACTATTGACTCATTCATATGCACCAGGTGTGAAAGCCGATAAAATATTCCCATGGATTGCTTTGTTTAGTATTTTTGTTGTTGTTTTTTTCTTTATTTTGTTTTTATTCAAGTATTTTAAGATGGCAGCAATTTACCTTTTTCTCAGACCCTCTCTGACATTAGCTTGTCAAGCAGACATTACTTCTCCAAACAAACAGAGCTCATTCAAAAAACTATCTACAACAGGTAAGATATTGTTTGTAATTGTTTTACATAACCCAACTATGAAAGACCTGAGCTATGCTATTGGAAGATGAGCATGGGGCCATATATATAAGCTAAAATGTAGCAGTTGTCATAAGAAAGTGTGGTCCTGTGTCCTGCAGTGAGAACAGCTACTTTACTCAGTGTGCTTTCGCTACAATAGTCAAACAAGCCCAGAAGAGATTGCAGAGTCTTAGTTTTTAACACACAACATTAGTATACATGGTAAAATATGTAAAGTGCAATCATGTCTCTATCGATGAAGTGAAAGATTGTCAACAAGAATGATAAAAAAATTAAATATATTCTATCACAGAAGAACACGTGTCTTTATAAATTATGATCCACGGCACAACACTGGCTTTAAATTATTAGAGAATTTTTAAACAAGATATATGAAATTCATGATGTTATCTGTTTCATATAGATCTGGAAAACATGGAACATACATTTTACATAAAATAAAGAAAACATCTTCACATGCATTTATTTCTTATACTGCATTAAAGAAACAAGTACTTTGTAGCCATTAGTTTGGTGATTCATAAGAAAACATCCATTTAGAAAATTATTTCTTCTACTATTACAGTAAGAGAAGGAGAGCAGGGGTTCCTCTAAATTTAGAATGAATGGGGAATGAAAGAGGGGCAGCAGGAACAATTGTAAAGACGAGGAGTAAAAAGCGACCCCCCCCCCCCCCCGTCTGGTTTCCTATAGGAGGGACGAGGAGAGATAAGACTAAAAGGACTGTCACTCAGAGGAACAATCCTTCCTGTGTCCCATTTGCTCCTGGGACTCCTCCCTCCTTCTTCGCTCCAATTTTCACAGATTCCTGCTGAGATAGAGCTGCTGTTCACAGAAACCGTAAGCTGACATCATCCTTCACATACAAAGTGTCCCTCGCCGACCCGTCAACACCTGATGGACACATGTATACGGAAATACCCACAGAAATGACACCATATGTTCCCACTACACTCCTCACTAACAGGGAACAGCTACAGTAGGAACAAAGTGTCTTCAATGTTTTCTTTCATTTCATTTTTATCTTTGTTTTTTCTATTTAGTGGACAATTTTTTGTTAATCCAAAATTTTACATTGGCAGACTGTTTTTTTTCCTTACAGCCTGAAAAATAATATTCCAAAGGGTTTGAGATTAACTCTCTTTTATTTATTGCTTTTAAAGTCATTTACTGGAGCAAAGTCATTTCATTTTAGGATGTGTGGCAATGTTTAGTTGTTAATCTTTGATCAAGTATCTGCTAATGTCAACAACTTGGTTATAAACCAAGCTGAGGCGGGCTGGACTGGGAAGCTCAGTCCTCACCTCCGTGTGCAGAGCATCCTGTGCTCCAGCACCAACGTGTGGCATGGAGGCTGCACAGCTGCAGAAAGAAAAGTTCTGCAGAGAGCGGTGAAGGCTGCACAGAAGACTGTTGGAGTCAGTCTCCCCACCATCACAGACATCTACACCTCCAGATGTAGGAAGAGAGCCACTTGCATCATGAAGGACCCCACTCACCCAGCACACACACTTTTTGCCCCACTCCCCTCATGCAGGAGGTTGAGGAGCATTAAGTGTAGAACCACTAGACTGAGGAACAGCTTCTATCTTGAAGCAGCTAGACTCATAAAACCAGGATAATCACTGTGGAAAAAAAAAAAATCACTGTAATGCCACTTCGATTGGTGGTATGTGCTGCTGATTATCCATGCTGCTTATTTCATGCTGCTGTATTCATTTGTACTCATCTATTCACATAGACCGTTCGTGCTGCTGTTGTTCAGTGTACTGTTTTGCACTATGAAGTGTTTAGCGTATTTCTTAGTATATATCTTAGATCCTCATTACTTTCTTTTATAATTTATATTTTTGCTATTGTTGGATGTAACTAGGACATTTTTGCACTAATAAAAAGTACAAGCTGCATCATTCCGGTTTATCTCAATACACTGAATAAACTGAAAAATACTGATTGTTAACATAACAGCACATGGAAGACAACAAATATTCAGCAGCTTGTTTTCCCATTCCACAGTAAAATTATTGTAAAACTAACTACAGCAGCACATTAGTACTGAAAAACTATGCAACTGCAGTACATTTACTATTTATTCATAACTGTGTAGTTTATATGTTCACTAGGCAAAAAATTATTAAAATAAACCTACATATTTTTTATATTTAAATGCTGGGGTTTTTTATATGCACATGCAAACCAAAATGTATTCTACAGTAATGTAGAATAATTGATTTTTGCCTGTATTGTTTGATTTTAAAATAATCTACCAAAAGTGACTAATGCTTTGCAACTACTTTAGTTTTAACAGATGACTTAATTATGCTAACTGGGCTATAACAATGCCACGTTTGTGACCAGTAAAGACATAATCATTGTTCTTTACAACTTGTTACGATGATGGGTATACTTCTTAAGGAAAACAACAGGGACTCCTATAATAAACACTCTAGAAAAGGCAGTGCAGAGAAATAAAGAATGACTGGACAGATAAGGACTGATGAAGCCTGTTGGATGAAAGTCGAAACATTCTATGAAAAAATGAACCATCCAGAGGACCTGACTTAACTTTGTTGGAAAGTATACGACTATTGTGACAGTTCAGATATCAGTTTTAAAAAAATCAGCTTGAGGATTAGCAGCTTGAATAATTAAAGCTAACAGTGTAATGTTTATCAGCTTTAAGTGGGATCGGAGTTTTTGTTTGTGATTTATCACATAAAACACAAATGCAATCACAGCTGAGCAGAAATTTTAGTTTTCTTTATTGAGTGACAACTTATTGACAAGTTGAATTTTCAGTCCAAACCACACAAACAATTCATTTTCAAATCATTCCTCATCTGGCATTGAGAATTAAAAATTTAAAATTAAATACAAATAAGTCAGGAATGACCAAACAGGAGCCTGTAAGTACAAATCTGTTTTCCAAGCATAATAGATGGAGGAACACTCAGCCCAAATATAGGAACAAACCTGAGATGTTTATTTTTGATAATAAAGTGTTTTCAGCTGAGATTTGAGAAAGGTTTGTTGCTGGGCAGAACTCAGATTACATCAGCAAAGAAAAGCACAAGTCAACATTTTGAAAGAGAAACCAAATGTATGTGTTGGAAAGAAGCAGAGCAGATTTGACACTTGTGATGGAGCCAACGGTACTCCGTCCAGCTCCTTAAAGGAACTGGACCAACAATCGTTGTTTGTGTTCAACATTCCACCATCAGTACATTTCAGTAAACTGTCTCCACCCAAAGAAAAGAAGACAAAGTAGGTTAATGTATCCCTGATCTGCAGAGCTGGAGTACACCTCACCTCGAAGAGGCCTCTGACGCTGCGCTCCCTGCTGCTAACGCACCAACAATCAGAAAAGTGAGCAAAGGTCAAGACTGAACCATCTTTTTATGGGGATCAAAAACATATCGCTTGAAATGTAAGTGAATGCTAATGGGCTTGAAGTCTGCTTTGGGCTCCTCTTCGTTTGTTTTACTCGCACTCTTCCCCTTCTTCTTGGACGTGGAGGAGAAGAGCTGCTTGGTCTCAGGGCGAAGACCCTCTGAGGAAAACATTGACAGGCAAGTCATAAATATTGCAAAAACAACCTTCACAATAATATATCCACTTTCTGCGATAAATCTAATTTGACACTGTCATGTGCAGCTCTTGGGTCACTTTACTGTCTCAGAGCAGGTATATCTGATATGACATTTATCTTTTCTGAGTGTTACAGGTACTTTATCAGTGCTGGAGGTTGTTCAGGCTGCTGACCTCAAGATCAACTGATGCGTTCAGTGTCCTTTTATAACTGGAAACCTGATCGGAATTGCTGCTGCAGTCTTTAGGTCACAGCTTCTCATCTTCATATTCAGATTAAAAACCATTAGTTGAGCATCATTCCGGCCCACGCTGCTCATGCATGAACAAAAACCTCTCCTCTTTTGTAAGTGACATGATGTCTGTCTGTAAAAATACGTCTCTGCGTTCCGTTCTGCACACGGAAGGTAAGAAATGTTCAGCGGCGCCAGCATTCTTCTTGTTATCATTATGCCAAGGTGAGGGTTGTTATGGTTGCAGTGCCGCCAGAGATCTCCAGTTCTTATCTACGATCAGCTGACAACGTTGGATTTTCATAACAAAAAGTGCTCGCATGCTGCTCACATTGACATATATTTTGAGTAAATAGATTGCATTCAATTCAATTCAGTTTATTTATACAGCACCAAGTCATAACAGAAGTCATCTCAGGGCGCTGAACAGAAACATTTATATATAAAAATAACAATTTAACATTATTTATCTGAGGAGCAGACGGCTTTGAGTTTAACTCCATCGTAGAATGCTCATCTTGAGCAAGCATGAAGGCGACAGTGGAAAGGAAAAACTCCCTCATGAGGAAGAAACCTTTAGCAGAACCAGGACAAGCGTCCATCTACTTTGACCGGCTGAGTTTGGTAGGAACAGATACACAATGGCAGCTTCTTGATCACAGTTTAGATTTCTTTACTAACTTCTTTAGTTCTTTGTCAGTCTGGAACAGCCACAAATCTGACAAGTGAACATATTAGGAAGAAATAATTAGTAAAGAAAATGGACAATCCAGAAGATGAAACATGGTTGGAAACTTGCAACCAGTTCATTGAGTCATATTTACCATAATTTCATTTCACCTTTTGTTATTGTTGGAGGTAACTGGGACCTTGAGTACACAATTTTGTTCCACCTCATGTACCACATGTGATGTGAATGACACTAAAATTGACTTGAACTTTTTTTACACGCTACAAAAGCCTAATATTTTAAACACAAGTGTGAGCACTTATACTTTACTTTACTTATACTTGTAGGCCTGTCACGATAAACAATAAATCAATTAATCGCATGATAAATTAAAATGAGGTTGATCATTTTCATTTATCGGCTTTATTGTTTCTTCATGTCTCTCTCTTTCTACTGAAGACACTGGATGACAAAAGGCTCAACTCCGGTGCTCTTCACTGACCTCTTTCTTTCTCGTTTCCTTAGCGTAAGTGGGGAGTGAACTATTGCATCAGGTAGCCAGCCAAGGCACATGGTCTTGTACCTCTGCAGCATTAGAGCCCCGTGAGGAGTTAACAAGCTAAAAAAACGCTATTTGATATTGGGGGAGAACGAAATGGAATTGGTTTCAAAGTCGAACGCAACAGCAGCAGTGTGGGAGCACTTCGGATTCAAACCAAATGACCGAGGCGAACCGCTGAACCTTTGCGAGCCGGTATGTCACATTCATCGTAAAACGGTAGCAACTAAAAGCAGCAATACAACCAGCTTGCTACTACAGTTACTAATGATTATTATTTTTTGAAGGGCAATTTAGTTTACAGACTTCATAATCCGTACTGTTTTGGTTGAATGTAGTTTTTATTTCCATGTTGTTTTTATTCAAGTGTATTTTTTGTTAACGGAGACTGAGAGGCCATTTTATTTTTGGTTTTGGTTGTTTTGTTTATTTTCCAGTTGTTGTGTTCTTTTGAAATTAACGTTTACTGATCTTTGAGAGAATATACTTGCACCATTATGTCATTATCATTACATTAGTTTAAAACGGTCTCCAAACAATATTATTGTATATCGCAATAATTTCTGAGACAATTAATCGCCCAGCAAAATCTGTTATCGTGACAGGCCTACTTACTTGTACTTTATACTTTACTTTTTGCACAGTATACAGGCAACAAGACTATTATTAAAACGCATCAGTCATGCAGAATAAAAGTGTCACCAGCATTTCTAGAAATGTTGATTTAAATAACTGAAAGTATTTGCTGGTGAAGTCAACATTTGCTTGTCCTTAGGAAAAACAGCACATGAAGAATTCAAGAGAAAGTAAAGCAAGTGGCAGGAAGCACAACAGCACCAGTACATGTTAATCGATTGTGACAGGCTCACTGAATGCCGACATTATGTTTGTATGTGTGTGTGTGTGTGTGTGTGTGTGTGTGAGTGTGTGTGTAGGTACAAGGCAGAGAAAAGGATGTAGGTGAGGTTCTTGTTCCAAAATGTTTTTGTTTTCTCTTCCCTCCTGGTGTGGAGTCGTAGGTTTTGAGCAACAGAAGTAAAATAAACACTGATCAGACTTCCCCCGGAACACAGGCAATCCCCAGAGGAATTCTGGGAATGTGGCTTGGGATGTCGGTCCTGCCTCTTTGACCACATCCTGTAAACCGTCTGCCGAGCCCCAAAGCTCAAAGAAATCCTTAGAACAGGCTCTGGATATGCGTGCGTTAAGAACAGGAGAGGCTCGTGTCGAGTAATGATAAACTTAGCAACATTTTTGAAATCCCAGGTTGATGTGTTTTGCGGGACGCTCGTTTAATTCAGTTTTCAAGACTTTGGGGACAGATGCGATATTAAATCCTTACCGGGTATACGAATCTTGAACTTCCCGCTCTGTCCAAAGCCGCCCTCGATGACTCCGCTCTCGCCTGTGGACAGTGTGACCTTTAACCCCACAAAGAGCTGGAGGTTGGTCTCCTTTTTGAACAAACTGCGGCCGATCAGAGAGTAATCATCAGTCACCTTAAATAAGACGGAAGGAAAGAAGAGTGAGCTGCAGTATTATGGTGGATAAATGCAATGTTTGATCTGTGATCTGGGACTGACGCAGGACAATATTATTAAAAATAATGTCTTTGCAATAACAGTGTGCAATATTAATATAGCAAAAGATTGCAAAAAATCATGAACAAAAACAGCCAGATACAAATATATTTGGCAGTCAGTTAGATTCGCATTGCCCCAAATACAAACAGCTGATTTGAATAGAATATTCAATAATATTATGATTCTGTGATTTCTTAAAAATTGTTTGGATCTAAAATGATCTAATTCAAACATCACAACTGTGTCTTGGACGTGTCGCCATATTTTCTTTCTGTCAGTAGGATGTCTGAGGAAGAGCTGTGCCTTATGAATAAACACTTTGGCTAGCTGCCACATTCTTCGAGGCTCAGGCCTTTCTCCTCCATTTTCTTTATCGCAGCAAATTTTTATGGTGTATTTGCATTTTTTGCTTATCACCCACCCCTAAGTGAATCTGAACTGGTACTAATCTGATGACTGAAGGGCACCATGCTGTCTCAAGCTTACCCCACCACCAAGTCTTCCTCTCTCTGCTCTCTTCCTAACCCTTATTCATTCCTGAACGTTTGACCCGAGTGTCGCTCAAGCTTGACTGATCTTCTGATTTAAAAAAAAAACACAGTTGCCGCACATGTTTTAACAGACCAGATGAATCGTGACTGGACGAGGGCGCCATGTCTCAACAATGACAGAAATGTGCTCCTTTTCAAGAAAGTGAATTCTTTAGGTTTAAAACGTAACTGCTTCATTCTGGGAGACGGGCCGAACGACGACTGTAACGTCACATGGTCACCACCTGACCCCCGCGCACATGCTGTTCTACTCCTGAGTGTATGAGCGGAGCTGTTGACAGCCTGAGGTGCTAAAGCAGGAAACTAGTTCACACACTTGACCCCTGAACTCTGTCTGACCCTGCATGAGGGCCTGAACAGAGAAATCTAACTGTAAGCAAAGGCATGACGAGAGCCGCCCAGATCGTTGACTGCAGACTGCAAATAAAAGCATTAGTATGAAAAGTTGCCTAAAAATCAGTTGAAGATTTTTTATTTCACTGCAGTAAATAAAAAAAAACTGGTTAGAAGTGATGAACTGTATAGACATGGATGTACAGGAGAATGTAAAAGCAACACACAAGAATGATATAAATGAACAGAAAGGAAGACAAAGAAAGAGAAAGACGCTCAGACGCTCCCAACATGTGGATGTTCCTGTGGCGCTCAGGTGTGTCCAAACAGCGCCAGCAGCCTCTGACAGCGAGACGGGACAGGCGACTGGCGTCAGTCGGCCACCCATGCGCGCCTTTGTCACAGCACATGCTACGGCATGAGTACCACCCATTCCTCAAACACTACTCAGCGGCACTGCATATGCATGATTGTTTGTGAGTACGTGTCTGTTTGTGAAAATACAATAGGGGCTCTGTCTGGGAGCCACGCTCCAGTGCTGCCAGCAATGAGAAACATCCAAAGAACTGGAGCGAGGAGGAGGAGTGCAAGGTGATGGTGAGGGCAGAGACACAGGAACAATGCTCAAAGGATCATTAGACAGATGTTTTCTATGTAATGAACTACCTGCTGGACATGCACTCACCCTCTCCACCTGTCCCTCCTTGTGTTTGGTCTTGTAGATCTGCAGACTAGGCAGCGAAGTCTCAGTGTAGCTTTTATCCTCGAACCCATGCAGTAAGCATCCTTGGAAGGCGAGTCGGCATGCGTTGGCGTGGATGTCCGAGTCCAGCTTTGATCCAATTACCAGACAGAGCGCAGGGCATGTGACCGGTCGCTCAAATTCTAATAAGGCCCACTGCTCCAGGTCAGGCCCTGAACTCCCATCTCTCTGACTGGAAGCATATTCATCCTGGTAGACATATTCCCTGTCAAAGGTGAAGGCTGCTTCCAGTGAGCACGGCTCTGATGGAGCTGGTTTAGAGTCAGTGGGGGGCAGGCCAAAGAAGGTCACCCTTGCCATGACTGTCTCGTGACCAACTGTGATGTGGAACTTAGCACGAGTAGCAAGAGAGCCCTTAAAGTAGCCTATCTTCCTTACAGAGACAACAGCTGCATGGAGGGTGCGCAGGGAGCCCGGGGTGCACACCAAACCGCGCTCCAACAGTTTGGGATCGAACTGAGTCACGCACACACCCACACGATCCCCCTGCATGGCCCCCGACACCGGCTTCCGAAACATCTGCACCGACTTTATTTTCTTGGTCACCTGATGTCAGAGAGCACAAAGACACAATAAATAATTCAGTTTAAAACACAAACAACTTACTTTTCCTACATAAATCTGATGAGAATAAATAACTGATAACACATGAGAAAAGGTTTCACTATTTGGAAACAAAAAAAAAACTTAACAGCAAAAGCAAATTTAAAATAGGAAACATGCACAAGTAAAACTTCTACGTAAAACTATTTTTGTCTTTAAAAAAAACAAATAAAATCTTCATCAAAATGTTGTTTTACAATGTTCAAAAACAAAAGAAATCAAATACAAAACATTAATTTTCACAGGCTTTGGAAAAAAACACCTCTACTAAAAAGGAGGTCAAGATCCAAATTAAAATCAAAAGTCAGTTATTCTACAGTGGACCAATATTGTTTACATTTTAATGCAGATAATATAAAGAAAATAAAAACTGCACCACACAGTTTGTTTTTAACTATAATTATAACTGTGCTTAACTTTCCTAGAAAATCACAGGAAAAAAGTAAATATGCGTAATTTTGTCACAATAAAAAGTAAATTACAACAAAAAAAAGCATAAGCAAAATATCAAATCAAACTAAATTTCAGACTTGTTTTGGTGCTATTTCTACAATCTAGAAACTATGATTGAAAACGTTGGTTTTATTATGTTAAAAGAAAATATATTTGTTAACCAGATTGTGACGCTACAAGTGTCAGTTAATTAAGCCATCTGCTGCCACCTAGAGGTGGACATGAAAACTGCAAACAAATACACAGATTGAGGGTTTGTTTGCATGTGGTCTTAATTACCCTCCACTTTTCACCCTCACTCCCCTCGTCTTTTCCTCGAACTAAACTGAAACATCCTCTGAACCCCGTCGACCGTCCGTCTCTCTGTCTGACCACAAACAGCTCAACTTCTGAGCCTCTGTGAAATTTATTTCCACTGCGCAGGAATCTTAAGACCTGCCTGTAAATATCAGAGGCTGCAAAGTCACGACACGTGTGTGGAACAAACCTTCAGCACTGGGATTTCCACTGTATCATTAATAGCCAGTGACCCCTGCAAGATGGTGCCGGTCATGACTGTTCCCTGACCACGGATGGAGAAGCAGTGATCCACAGCCATGAGCAGGGCACCTTTGGGGTCTCTCTTAGGGAGGTATGTCTGTTTCTTTAAAAGCTAGGAGGAGGAGACACATAAAAACAAAGAGTAACCACAAACATAATACTGCAAGTTTACAAGTGTGGCACATACAAACAAACAGGAACTCAGCATTAAATAAAGATTTTCTCTTTTTGTTTGTCTGACTAATAAATTAACTAGTCAAACAATGCATTATCGCAGGAGATTTAACACGGAGTAAAACAAAGTACTTTGTTTAATTATCCAGTAGCTTCAGAGTACCTTGACATGACAGCAGTCCCTCGCTACTTCACGGTTCGTTTGTTGCGGACTCGCTCTATCGCGGTTTTTCAAAGTAAGATTGGACATGACACACACTGATTGATGGATGAGCCGCACGATCGGCATGGAATTCTTATTTAAAATAAATTACTTTAAATTATTTAGCACCTGTGTGCAGCCCAAGCTGCAGGAGGAGCTTCTTCATGCAGCGTATTGGATCTCCACTCTGCAGAGGAGAAGTGGGCGTGGCCAAGAGCGGTGGCAAGTGCCAGAGAGGAGGCAGGGAGATGAAATCATGACATTCTGTGCTCTTTTAGAGCGTTTAACGTTTACAAACGTTGTTTAGAATATTGCAAGTGTGGGGGAAAGGTTTAAAATGTCTTAATGTATATATGTATATATGTGTATATATATATATATATATATATATATATATATATATATATATATATGCAAAGTATAATACAAATAATAAACTACTACTTACTACTTGTCTTACTATTCCTACTTTATGGTTTTTCACTTATCGCGGGGCTTCAGGGTACGGATCACCCGAAATAAACAAGGGACTACTGTATTTTTCTAAAACTGTGAATCTTAACTTGAAGGACGTTAAAACAATTTTCTGTTTTATTTTTCATCTTGGCAAAAAGCACTGTCTAATAAACTGATCTGAAATCTCTAAAAGAAATGAAATTCAGAGACTGCCCAGGTTACCAAAAATATATAATTTTCATACTTTTCAAATCATTTCATAAGTTCATCATTAATCATTAATTAATAGTTAATCATTTCATGAGTTCTAGAATTGCGCCGCTCAAGGTGGCTGCATGTTGGAGCAGCTCTGTTACGTTCATTCTGATATTTTGCAGCTCTGTTACGTTCATTCTGATATTTTGCTTTTGGAAATTTTAATTCCTCTTTTTCTGGATGTAAATCACATTTTTTGGATGATTGTTTCCTCGGGTATCAGATGCTGTGCAGCTGGAAGGATTTTTACTGAAACTTTTTTAGTTTTGGACCTTTGGCATGATGCGTAACCATGGCAACAAGGCAGTTTTCTACAACCAACAGCAGCTGATTAACATCTCAAAAGCTCAAATAATATCTCAACTACAGTCCCAAATCTCAAATGAGTTGAAAGGACGCTCTGTGGAAGCATTCTCATCTACCTGCCAGCTGTGCTCGAGTGCCTGACCACTGAGATCCTGGAACTAGCAGGAAACACGGCTCATGACAGTGGAAGGACAGGATCGTCCCTCGGCACCTACACGACGAGGAGCTCGGCAGACTGCTGGGAGGAGTTCTGCCCAGCATTCGGGCGGTCCTACAGTCTGAGGGAACCGAGAGGCCAGCCGAGTCTGGGAGGACGGATTAAACGGCATCTGCAGCCAGTTTCTTAGGATCCACTTTGGGATGGACCTTTACAAGAGATCCTTCCTGCCTACAGCCATCAGCATCTATAACATCTCTTAATGAAATGAGGATAACGAGTTACAACAAAACATAATTTCCCTTTGGGATTAATAAAGTATTTTTGAATTGAATTGAATAAAGTGTGGCAGAGGTGCCAAGACCCATCCTATTTAATTGCATCTATTTTTTATTCTTCGTTATAAAAAAATGTTCTGAATCATAAATTTAAATAAATAAAATAATTGGCTATCAATGAATTAAAACAAAGGCATACTAAATAATCCAAGTTAATACAATAAATAATAAAAGTAGTAATCCTGCGTATCGCCCACCACGTTGCATGCCAAAGTTTTAAACAAAGTTTTTGTGCGATCTATAAATTCCCAGGCTGTGTTGGTGATTACTCTCAGCTACAGCCGCAGCAAATTTTTGCATCATATCTGTGAAATCGACAAGTTATACTACGTAATTTTTATGGACTCTAAAACTTTAAAGTCAAGTTTGTCAGAGAGCATTGCCAATGCCTTAATAAATACATCATTATTAAATTTCTAATAAATTCAGTAGGGTATCTAGTGAAAACAATATATCAAAATAGTTGAACAAAATATATATTATATCCTTACAGGCAAAGATAATTCAGAGCTGTCATTGTCTACTGAGCTTCACCAAGCTGCTTCATCTGGATCATTTAAACAACACAAGATAAAACATTTTTAAGCAAATGAAAAAAATTATCCTAATTTTTAGACCTATTTCTACCTTTCTGCGTTCATGAGAACTCACACACAGCTTTGAGCTTCATTAGTTATAATTCTAAGGAGCCAGACTGGTTCCACGCTTTACCTCGATTAATTGTGGCACTCCCTGTGGCTCCTCTGTGTCAGGGGCCTCTGGGCCCCCAGGCTTCGCCGCCACTGCAATCACCGGACAATCCTTAAATCTGATAATCAGAAAAACAGCAACGCTGAAATGATTTCATGATGTTCTGTTCAGGGCCTACCAATTAACCAAAAAAAAAAAAAAAAAAAAACTGGACACTTCAGGTATGATATCAAAACTGAAAGTTACTGAAACAACCAAACCCAATGGTGTGTCCAGGTTAACATTTCACAGCCACTACCTCTGGACGTGTAAATTATTCTATTCATGAATACAAACCTGGTGCTCTCCAGTGTTTTGTGTAGCCTCTTGGTCATTTTCTCAATGGCACTTTGTCTCTTGTTAGGTGGCAGCAGGTCAGTCTTATTCAGGACGACAACCATGCGGGGGCAGGTCAGCTCTCCTATCAGCAGACACTCTGCAGTCTGAGTCTGCACACCTTTCACCACATCCACCACCAGGACCATCAGGTCAATGATCTGGGCACCTATACAACAGAAGATATTGAAGACGTGCAGAACAACGCAGCATGTTTCATCCTATAGACATCCAAGTTTTTCGGTTTTATTTTTATTTTTTTATTTTTTTTAACATTGATGACTCTGAGAAGATGAAAAGTAATGCAAACAAGGACGGACACAGAGGCCCAAAAATAACAGCAGAACAAGAGGAAAAATTAGAGGAGAGGGTGTGTGCGGGGGGGAATAAAAAGCTAGGGGGTTGAAACTGGAGCTGCAGCTCACTTGGTTTTCTCGCTTTTTATTCTTTTCTTTTCCTGACTTCGACTCCGCTCTTTTTCCTGTGTGCTTTCCACTTGGGACTGGAGGGGAAGTTTAACACATACCCCAATCTACACATTTCACTTCTTCCCTAATCTGCAGCATGTACCATCCCAATGGCTGCTTTCATTTACTTTTAGGCACTACAGAACGGTGTTTAAGGTTTGACAGTCTTAACAAACATCATAAAACTGTGCGCTTTAACTGTTCCTTGGACAACACAAGAAACAGAGCAATCTTAAGTAAATGTTCAGATTCATTTATTCCAAACTGCAGCCTTTCCCTCTCTACTCGCAACAATCCAAGTTATTTCCTGCAGAGAATGTGCCCTCTGCTGGATATGTCAAACTTGAGTTCAACCGCTGTGACAGCAGGAGCTACTGTGGCTGCGATTCCTACAAAAAGACTTTGAGTTGGCTTGAGTTTTGATTATGTTTGTCTTTGCACTCCACCTACATAAGCTACTTAGTTTCACTGAGTTGTGATATTCCAAAGATTCTGGTAATTATTTGGTAAATGTGCTGCATATAGTTTTCTGTTTGTTTTCTACAACGTTTCTACTTTCACTAAAAAACACACACACACATAGTTGAGTTAATAACCTGCTCCTTCCACATGAGCACCAGTCCCGACATGCACTTGTCCTGTACTTCATGTATGTATGAAGTGAAACTGTTATATAAACGGCAATGATAATATTTGAGGACACAACAACTTTATGACTACAACTATTTGACAAGCAACTTTACATTATTTCATGATGAACAGTGAACTAACAAAGTGCTAAATAAATACTGACAGCATCACTATATTGGTGCTCATCCAGGAGGGGAACGAGTCAGGGTACGAGAAGACAACATTACAAGATATGGAGAGAAGAATGATCTCATCCTCAATACAGACAAGACCAAAAAATATAATATTAGACTTCAGGAAGAATTCCCTCCCATTACAGCGAACACCACACAAGCAGAATGGAAGGCACTGCAAAGAGTCATAAAGACTGCAGATCATAGGGACAAAACTTGCTTCCATGGACTCGATGTATGTACAGCGCTGTTGAAGAAGAGCAGCTGGGATCATCAAGGACTCACTCCATCCAGCTCACACTCTTATCAGACACAAAAATGTTCATATAACCCGAGACACAGTAGAGCGGATAGCATCATCACCTATTTAGTGCAGTACAAGGTTTTTTAATAGTTTTTTTTTTTTCACCCTGCCACAGTCAGACTGATGGCAAAACAAAAACTGCTAATCAGGTGCAATAATAACCCCACAGTACCTAACTTCACTTGTCATGTGTCATGGTTTACTTTCTGTACAGTGTAGATATAAACCACTTTGTTCATATTTTTATTTTATTTAGTTAGTGTTGTAGGGCAGCACGGTGGCGCAACTGGTAGAGCTGCTGCCTCTCAGCGAACAGGTCCCTGGTTCAAACCCTAGTCCAGGGCCCTTCTGGGTGGAGTTTGCATGTTCTCTTCGTGCATGCGTGGGTTTTCTCCGGGTACTCCGGTTTCCTCCCACAGACCAAACACATGCATGTTAGGCTGATTGGTAACTCTAAATTGTCCCTAGGTGTGAGTGAGAGAGTGAATGGTTGTTTGTCTCGTTTGTCTCTATGTGGCCCTGTGATGGACTTGACCCGTCCAGGGTGTACCCCGCCCCCCGCACAGTGATTGCTGGACATGGGCACCAGCGACCCCCGTGACCCAAAATGGAATAAACGGGTAAAGATAATGGATGGATGGATAGTTAGTGTTGTTTCAGTGTTTTGACTATGAATGAGAATTCAAATGTGCCTGGATCTGTGCACAAATGGTAAATAAAGAACTTTGTTTGTATTTTTGTAAAAAGCAGCAGAAGAAAAGATAATGATTGTTATTGTCCTGAGGGGCTTGATTTGACAAAAGAGAAAAGATATCTAGACACAAAGGTATTAAAAAACCTGCATATGACTGTAAGAGCCATAAAGCAACTAAACACACAGATAGATATAACTTTTAGCTGTACTCTGTTTTATGGATTTGTGTCATTTCACCTTAACTTGGATTAATCTTGCAATTGTTTTTATTTAATTGCAACAAAGTACTTTGTTGTGCGAGTCTGATCAGATCAGTGCTCACCTCCAATGATAGTCCGGATAAGAGAGGCGTGCCCGGGACAGTCCACCAGGGTGAACTGAAGGCTGTCGTACTGCTGCTCTCCGCTGTCCTGCAGGTGATCTGGGAAATCCACCGTGAAGGAGGAGAAGCCAAGGTCCAGCGTGATGCCTCGTTCACGGGACTGCGGGTTCTTGTCGAAGGCGGCCGTTGAGGCTGTGCTGCTCAGGGCCCTGGCGAGCGACGTCTTGCCGCTGTCGACGTGTCCGAGCACCCCGACATTGAAATTTAGCGTTTTAGTCCGACTGTCAAGTGACTCAGACATTTTTTTCGATCTGTTGTTTAAGTTTTATCTAACATGCGTGTTTTCCTAAAATCCGAGTTGGACCTTGAACTCAGCACGCTGCTTTACTGCTGTTCACGAACTCCTCTGTCTTTAGTATTTGTTACTAAAACCTTATAGTGCAGGTTTCTGAATTACAAAACGCTGTTGAACACAAAAACAGAACTTCAACCGAACACTGTCCAAAACGTCCTGTTTTGGTATCAACGCACTTCATCCTCAGGAAACAAGAGGCAAGCGGAACTATTTTTTTTATTAAGCAAGCACAAGTAGAAAAATAGCAACATATAGGTTAATCTAACTTTTTTTAAAGCTAATTTGAAATTTTTTATAAAAAATTCCTAATTTTTAGCTCTGCGCTAATATAACATTTTTAATTAGATTTTGATTTTTTTATGTATTTCTACTACGACAGCTCAAACGAAGCACAAACGGAAATGTAAACTTTGATGGGCGGGACTTAATGGATTAGAAAAAGATTGACACATATTTCATCCATTTAGAGCGTTACATGTTTTGACAAGGTCCAATAATTTTCCACAATGGTCGAAGATGGGCGGTGCTACACGGTATCATTTCCGCCTCTTTTCCCTAGTAACCCACATGGAGACCGACGTCTCTGTGTTTTGAGTTTCCGCGCGGATTGCAGAGGCAAGAAATTATCAGACGTAAAAACGGCTTTTAAATCGTCTTAAGTGTGAATCGCGGTTTCTGCGTTATACAGCAGTGTAAATAGCATAGCTATGAAAATCGAGGAGGTAAAAAGTACCACGAAAACTCAAAGGATCGCCTCTCATAGTCACGTCAAAGGACTCGGGCTCGACGAGGCCGGGAATGCTAAACAGACAGCATGTGGACTGGTTGGCCAGGAGGCTGCAAGAGAGGTACAGTATTATGTTTCAGTGCACTGTCATTAATCGTCTCTTCCTTATATCAGTACTTTTAGTTTCGTAAAGACCATTTAGCCCACTCTCTGATGATCGTTTAGCATGCTAAGCTACATCCGTTAGCCCCGCTGCCTTAAAAACTACAAACAGTTTGCAAGCATCTGATAAATTAGAAGTATAATAGCTGTGGTATTTGGAAGAAAGTATTTTTTTTCAATACTATTTTTGCTTTATAAAAACATACTTAGACCTTTTCTGTTGGATGCTTTTGTTTCACAGTGCAACAGATATTTTAATAGCTTTTTATTATAATTAGACTGGTCCGTTTGCTGCAAGTTTCAATGTTGGGACAAAATATCATCCAGCTTTGTCTTTCTGGGGAAAAGTAGTTTAGATGATGACATATATTTTTGTTAAATTATTGTATTTTGTTTAAAAGACATCATTGTAATTGTTTACAGATGTGCCAGTTTTGTTTGTTTGTGCTTCATGCTGTTTTCTCACTTTTAAACTCAGAGATAGTGAAACTATTTAAATGGATCCAGGGTGAGATCATTTTGATTTTTGTATGGAATAGTTTATTTAAAAACTTGCATTTGCTGTCATCAGCTGGTTGTAGCCACTAAAAATGTTTCTCAAATGTTTCCCAGTTTCATGAGTGACTCCTACAGATTTCTGATTCTTTTAAATGAAGTGCTGCCAAAGGCCTCAAAGTAATTTAGGAGTGGAATTTGGGACAAAGATTTCTACAGATGCTCTAATTTTTAAACTATTTTGTATTGTCTATAGGTTTAGGTTTATTGTCGTATGCAGATCAACACGAGGTCAAAAATGCAATGAAATGTTCAGGACAAGAATAACCGTTTCAATATGCAATATTTACATTTTTTACATTTACGTTTAAAAAAATGTTGAATTTCAGTAAACAAAGGCTTAAAATTATTCACTTTTTTCCAATTGCAAAAGTGGTCGTATTTGTTTTAATAAACTTTTTTTTTATTCTTCTACACACATGTACTGTATAATGGCATAATTTTTCCTTCTGTTTAGGCCTGTGGCATCATTGTTGAGATGATCCGCTCCAAAAAGATGGCAGGAAGGGCAGTTTTACTGGCAGGACCACCTGGAACAGGAAAGGTTAGTGTGCATTGTTCATAAAGTGTCCATATGCATACAGAATATTAGGCATATTTTTAGTTATTGCTGCTTATTTTTGCTCTAACATTGTTTTTGTTGTTCTACCTTCAGACTGCCCTCGCATTGGCTGTGGCGCAGGAGTTGGGAAACAAGGTGCCTTTCTGTCCCATGGTTGGCAGTGAGGTCTACTCAACTGAGATTAAAAAAACAGAAGTACTGATGGAGAATTTCAGGAGGGCAATTGGTAAGTGAGAATTAAAATGCCAACTCAGATTTTTCCTGTCTCTCTAATATTTATTGTAGGAAGAAATTGGTATAACTTTGTAAAAACAAAAGGAAAAAGACATGCCTCGTTGTGTTGTTTTAAGCTTAGATACTCCTGAAATCATATATATTATAGTGAATTGAAGTTGTTCTTAGCATTTTTGCTGTAAAAGCGCATTATATTTTCAGCTGTTTCTCATTAAGAAACCACTGAAAAGGAAATAACTTGCTTTGTTGTCTTAAATGGTAAGGATTGTGGGTTTATGGGGCAAACATTTTTTAAAAGGTAGAAGTGATCAGTGAAGATAATGAGTTTGTCTGACGGTACCTGTTGACTGTGGAGGAAATGAAGCCTAAATAATCAGTAGTCATTGGCACTTTTGCTCCACCACTAGAATAGTATTTGCAGGACAGAGTGGATTTCATCCAAAGTTTTTCATCACCTTGTCAAATAAGCACAGTGTCTGCTTCGCCTCAGAGGATCAGGCACCTGCGCTGCTCATACTCGGCTTCAAAACTCTGTGAAGGAGTGCGATCATGTTACAGTGAATGGTGCCCTGGCATTTCAAAGGCACACACAGCCTTTCCTGTAATCAAATACATTTTTCTGCTGTCTGAAAGATGTGAGGCTTAGCCGACGCAGGAGTATAAAGACCCGATTGAGTTCTCGTTCTGAAGCACGTGTGTGTCTGACGGTACCGCCGCCTACATTCAGGGCTGCGCATCAAAGAAACAAAGGAGGTGTATGAAGGAGAAGTGACGGAGCTGACCCCCTGTGAGACGGAGAATCCTATGGGCGGCTATGGAAAAACCATCAGCCACGTCATCATCGGCCTGAAGACGGCCAAAGGCACAAAACAGCTCAAGGTCAGACTTCTTCCATCCATCCCTCTCTCTTCTACCACTTATTCGTTCTTCCATCAGTTATTGTAAACAATCTTTAATTAATGTTTTGTGTATAAACCAAGAAATGACTATTATTAAAGTAGATAATAATGTTCACTTTTAATTAACTTTGAAGGAACTTGTTGCATATTTTTCAAGAACACTATCTCAGTCTAATTAAGTGTTTGAGGTGCATATTTGCAACAAGTAAATTACTTGTTTTCTGTAAGTATTTTATTGTAAAACTCAGATTTGACAGGGTTTTATTTTTTTCGGTGAATAAGAATTCTTGTAGCTCAGGTGGTAAAATAACACTGAAATGCTGCTTTTTCCTCAGCTGGATCCCAGCATTTACGAGAGTCTTCAGAAAGAGCGTGTTGAAGTGGGAGACGTCATCTACATCGAAGCCAACAGTGGAGCTGTTAAGGTAAAATATTACACACTTTAGTTTTACTGTTTAAAACCTGCAGCAGAGGTCAAGATGTGAGAAAAGTTGCAATAAATCTGATTGTGGCCTCGTTGCTCTGTCTCCTCTTTTAAGTTACTTTTATACAGAAATTATTTATTTTACTGTTCATGTTTGATGAAGATAAACCAGACTAAAATAGTCATCTTAAAGAAACCTGCAGTTTTAAATATTTCTGATGATGTGAGAGTTTAATTTATCCTGAATTGTTTTATACCAGTTGATTTTAGTTTATTGGAAACTATTTTTTTTTTTTTCCATTCAACCTTTATTTAGACAGGTAAATCCCATTGAGCCTCGAGGACTCATTTACAAGAGAGACCTGATTATAAATGTATATATGAAAAATATAATATATATATATATATGATTATAAAAAGCCAAGATCAATAAAGTGTTGTATTAGAGTTTCTTAATGATTGAACAACAGTCAAATTATATTTATAATTAACTTTGTTTGTTAATAAATTATTGGGATTCTGGACCTTTATCAAATATAGATGTTTGTCTGTTAAATAAATCAGTTTAGTTAAAGAAAGAACAACATTTTAATTTGGATTGTTTAATTAGGTGGACGTCGAGTGGTTTTGCCTCGTCCGTCCTTCATGGTGGTATTCTGCTTTCATCTTCCTCCTGAAGTTCTGCTGTACTCTGGAATGAACGTCTCTCATTCTTACAGCTTTTCATGCTCTATCTATCTTTACATCTCCCATGATGCAGCGGAGCATGTGGTCTGTCGACAGGCCACAGTTAATGTTCTTTTAGTCGATGCAGGTGGGCCGCGGAGGGCGGCTGTAGTTAGATAGAAGAGGAGGAGGAGGGCTGCGTCCCCCATTTGTTACTGTTGACAGCGATCTCTTGAGCTGCCTCCTCCAACCCTTTCATCTCTCAGCCACATGTCCTCCTCTGCAGCGGGCTGGCAGCAGGATACTCCCTCCTCCTGCCTTTTTCTTTAGCTGCAGTAAAACATGTATTTATGGTATTCTTGCAGAGGCAAGGCCGCTGTGACACCTTTGCAACAGAGTTTGACCTGGAGGCAGAAGAGTACGTCCCACTGCCCAAAGGTGATGTCCACAAGAAGAAGGAGATAGTCCAAGATGTCACACTGCATGACCTGGATGTTGCAAATGCTCGACCTCAGGTACAAACCTGCTCTGATGTGGTCACAACGAATGTGAATTATTTCTTCTGCTCACCTTCTACAAGAGAAATAATCACATATTGTCTCATCCCAGGGAGGCCAGGATATCCTCTCTATGATGGGACAACTAATGAAGCCCAAAAAGACAGAAATCACAGGTAAAATAAATTAATTGAATAAAATCCTGTTTCCCTCTGAGCGAAGCATCAAATGCCCGACGGTGACTCACTGCTGTTCTTTCGCTCCAGATAAGCTTCGTGCAGAGATCAACAAAGTGGTGAACCGCTACATAGACCAGGGAGTGGCTGAGCTCGTCCCCGGGGTGCTGTTTGTGGACGAGGTGCACATGCTCGACATCGAGTGCTTCACGTACCTCCACCGCGCGCTGGAGAGCAGCATCGCCCCCATTGTTGTGTTTGCCTCAAACAGGGGAAACTGTTTGATCAGGTGAGAGGCGTAACGTGTTTTATGGAAATAAAAACAACCGTTAAACTGAGCAGAGTTTCGTACTCCTGACATATGTTGTTTCGTAGAGGGACAGAGGACATCAGCTCTCCACATGGCATTCCTCTGGACTTGCTGGACAGAGTTATGATCATCCGCACCATGTTGTACACGCCTCAGGAGATGAAGCAGGTGAGTCTGAGAGTCAGTCGAGTTCTGCGACGTGAAGCGTCTCGTGTGTCACTAACGAACCCGTTTATTTCAGATCATCAAGATTCGCTCTCAGACCGAGGGGATCAGTATCAGCGAGGAAGCTCTTACCCACCTGGCAGAGATCGGCACCAAGACCACCCTCAGGTACTTCCAGCTGTTCCCAAACTCATCCATATATTGTCTCCACAGTGATGTAGTTGTACACATTTAACTGGGTTTGAAGCACCAGATAGAAAAAGTCAAATAACAAATTTAAGAGCTTTATGATGAAGCATCAAATCAGGATTGTAAAATTAATTTACATGCACCCCATCAAGTATAAAGTGGATGTTCTGTACAAAGTTTGAACATCTGTAAAATTCCAGCTGCAGTCCTCATCACAGGGGCATTTGTTCCAACTTTACAAACAGTAATATTTAGTATATATGATACTAAAAATTAACAGTTTAGAACAAATTAGCTCAACTTTTAATGTTGTGCTTGATGTGGAGCAGCATTGAGGTCAAATTTAGCTGGAAGCAAAATTCTTTGAATTTCTGCAGCTTGTCCCATTTAGTCATTTATTCGTTTTTTTATCATGAACGGATGTTTCCTGCTCCTCATCTCCCGTTTGCTCTCAGGTATGCTGTGCAGCTGCTGACACCAGCCAGCCTGCTGGGTCGTGTTCAGGGAAAAGAGACTGTGGAGAGGGAGCAGGTCGAGGAAATTAACGAGTTGTTCTATGACGCCAAGTCTTCTGCTAAAATCCTCCAAGACCAGCATCACAAGTTCATGAAATAAAACTAGGATGGATGTTAAAGCTTTGCTCCTTACGTTATCCATCTTTCTTCCACCATGCCCCCGCCTCCATCTCATCTGTCCTAGTAGTTTTGTTCATATAAATCTAAAGTTTTATTCTTTTGTTATCATTTTTGAATTAAAAAGAAAAACAGAAGTTGCCTCAGTTTCCTTCAATATTTCTGGTCTTTTACATTTTTACATTCCTAATCACTGACCTCTTCCAAAGAAAACATTCAGATTTTTTACAATATAAACTGCATGTTTTATAAAACAACAAAAAAACTGTATAAATTTATGCAATCATTAGTGTAAAGAAACAATATTGCACATGTTGCATTTATTTATTATTGTGCCAACATGGTAAAGGTGTTCAGCCAAAACAAATTAACTAAAATTTCAATTTTACACATGTAGAACAAAATATTGCAAACATGTCTTTTTGCCATGCGTCCATACTAAATCAACTAGTAGCATTAAAATCCTGAATTCAAACCATTCCACTTATATGAAATTACTCTGGCTGTCATTCTACTGTGTATTAAAAGTTTATATTCTTTTCATCAAAAACCCTCAAGCTGAACCAATTTTTTTCATGCCAATAAAATATGATTATAGGTCCGTAAATAAAAATGCAGTGTTTATATATATATATATATATAAATCTAAAAGTTATAATTTTGCATTTCTAAAGTTAAGTAAAGCTGTCAATTAATGACATTTTTTTCAGTTTGATGCAATAGAAGTGTATAGAAGTATCAAGTTTTTAAAACACCTCAAATTTGGCCTCGAAAATAACGCTTCCGTTAATATATTCAGTCACATCCCACCACAGGACAAGGAAATGTTTTGGTCTTATTATTCGGTGCAGTGCGTAAAATAATGTAACTTTAAAAACGGTTAAACTATGAGGTAAATAATTGACCCCAACCATCAAAGGATGTAAGAAGTAGGGACGATGAGGGTGCTACAGCACCCCTGATAGATGCCAGAGGACATGTATGTCCAAATGCACTGTTAAATTAATAACAATGTTAATTTGTGCTGCATATGTTTACATAGCAACAATTCTTTGATAATATTGAGTTTTGTAAATTGTGTATAAATCAGCAACTTAGAAGATAATATTCATATACAAAGTAAATTGTACGGGATATTAATGTCCATATGTAGACAGTTGTTTGCATTCCACTGCATATATCTGGTATCCTGATATTCTTTATATGGGTGTTTAGTCATGCAAATCCCCCCGGCCACCCAACTAAAACACTTTCCAACCACCTAACAGAACAGCTGGTGTCCGGTCCTGTTCGGGGTGTTTCTTACTTCCTGACGGGTCGAGCTGAGCGGGAGTTGAAAGCCGTCTCTGCTCCTGACCTCGCTCCACTGAACACGGATGGAGCAGCTTTCCCCATTTTCTCTACAAGAATAATTAATAAATTTAAAAAAATCAGATTATTTCACTGCTCATAAAACTGTTACACCACACAAATGGTATGGTATGAAGTTTATTCATTTTAAAAAAGTACAAAACAATTCCATAACAATATAAAAAAGATTTAAAATGAAAGGCAGCAGAAAGAAGAAAAAAATCTTATTATATCTGCCCCTTTTTTCAAACAATTATTTCAATCATAATAATTTTCAAGTAACAGAACAAAATGAATAACTCTTTCTAATTTTTCTAATTCTAATACAATAACAGGACTGGTGGTTTGAGCTGCACATATCTGATCCCACTGGGATACGGAGACAGAGAACTGTATGACTGGAGTCCAAACCTCTCTCCCTCTCTGTATATGGTGTGGAAACTCAAACGTCATGAAAAACTCCCCTTCACACACACACACACACACACACACCATCACTGCCAGAATCTGATCTAAGCGTCACTGCATGCAGAAAACAAAAACACAGTTTCCAATGTAAAGTCCCACATTGTGCGTGCTCACCACATTCCTCCATCACTTCGTATGTTTTGCTCTTCGTGGGCCCGTAAGAGCCAAGTTTGTTCTTTGCTTCAGTCAGATCCTCCTCTCTCACTGCAGGACGCTGCATCTGCTCCTTATCCTGATCAGGCTGAAGGACACAAACATGAGACATTCTTGTGCTCCATGAGTCTGCAACAATTAAAAAAAGACCGTGAACACTTAAACTCTGCTCTTACCTGAGACATGATGGTTGAATAACAGAATAATCTGCTGCAAAGATTCTCCTCTTACGGTCCGTTGTGTCTTCTTCCGCTGGTTCCACTCACATCACACGTATAAACAATCTGGCAGTAGTTTTCCAGGGAGTAATAAATCTGCCCCTCAGATGCAATAAGTGAACAGACTCCTCCTGGTTTTTTTTTTATCTCTTCTTCTTTGGTGTTTAGTTATGAAAGGATGAGGTCACAGCTCAAAGCTGTGACTTTAAACTTCATGTAACAAAAGCCAGAGATGCAGGAAAACATTTTTATCTGTTCCTCCACTGAAATAAGAAATCCAAGCAAACTGGGCTCAACTTACACAGACGTGTCTGTCCTAACACATCCAACTGCCGTACAAATATCTGTTGAACACAGGCAGACAGGAGACTAAACGTGGTCCTGCTTCCGTTCCCACCCTTCTGATTAGGTCATTATTTAGTCCCCTGGGGTCCTATGAACACAGCGGCAGCAGAAAGGCCAACAAATACATGGGAAGTGTTTCTCTTCAACTTAAACTTGTTTAACTCTTACGCAGTACAACATAAACAAAACTGGATTTCACCTTCTAAGTGATCTGCATTTCTTACACCATTAAGATAATTTTAACTAAACACGGGTCAAGCACGTTGTCGCAATTCATTGCTTTCATGCAGTGAACTTAGCAGTTGGTAAAACTTTCCAAATAAATACAACTCGAATATAAAAAGACAAAGAACGCATTCAGAATTTTTTTTGGCCAAAAATAAGGCTTTATTTTTCAGTTTTAAGGAAGAGGACTCAAATTCATACCAAATTTGAATGGTTTTATGAAACATTAGAACATTTTTGCTCATACTTTTCTAATTTTTTTAAAGTTATCTTGTTGATAAATCTCCTTTTCAATGAACTAACTGTATTACTATCAATTTCGATAGAGTTGTCTTTTTGGAATGTGCAGTGAAAAATATCTGTAACAAAAATCTTTTTGAAGAATATTCACCTTCACACCCAGGATTAGATCCTGAAACTGTACTAACAGTTATCACTCTTTTCCACAGGAATACTTCAGAATCACAGTCTTTTTAAATATCAGCGCTTTCCACCATTTTTTCTAGTTTTTCACAGTCGGTAACAGATCATTCATAGCTGTTTCATATTTAAGTATGTTTCTTTCTGTATCTGGGCAACAGCTGCGTCCTCACAAATGCAATCAGCTGAGTTTCTGTGAGAACAAGAGCCGTGAGGACGAGGAGAAGACACACACCCCCCACGCCGACGTGGACCATCCTGAGCAACCAGCCGCGTTCACAGCAGAGAAGAGACTGAAAACAGGAAATGAAGAAGTTCAAACAAATAATACTTGATAAGAGTTGTTGTAGACTAAATCAAAAACGGATTAATCTTTCGCTGGTACCTCAGAAACTGTTGTGACTCCTGCGCTGACACAAAGTGCCAGAACAAGGAGCGGAGAAGGCAAGAGGCCTCGCAGAGGTTTCCACTGACTGAACTTAAAGTAGCGGTGTATGTAAAGACAGCTGTGCAAAATACGGAGGCCCATGTTGAGACAGTTTGCCAGAATGAAGCCGACACCTCCGGCCCACCAAGTCAGCACGTAGGACAAGACGAGAAACGACACAGACAGAGCCAGCATGACCAGGTTATACCTGAGGACAAAACAGCGGTAAGTCACAGAATACATCTCGTGTTGGACGAACACTAGTTTCTCTGTCTCATCTTACTTGTCGACTTCTTCTTGGCTCATGGCAGCAAACACAAAACACTCTGTTACACCGTTTACAGCTAGCAGGAGAACATAACTGCTGTAGCATCGCAGCAAACTGGACCCTATAAAACAAAAAAATAATTAAATAACATCTAACAGAAACGTATCATACACGTTGCTGTTTTTAGTGTCGCATTTGTACCTGCCCCACTGCTTAGCAGAGAGCCACCATAAATATCCAGAGCCAGGTGAGAGTAAGCATATCCAAACACTGTGATAATCAAACCAATCACCAGCACCAGCTTCAGCAAACGCTCCAGAACCTCTGCTGCAATGGCCACTTCTTCCTGCATGTAAACACACAAATCAGAGGTCAAAGAAACACGACATCTGCAATGTACGTTTGTGTTTATTCCCATGGTGCAAACCTGTTTCTGACTTCTGATGTCACGTCCTCTCACTAATACTTTGGCAAAAAAGATGTAGAAGCTTTCTTCAATGGGCAAGAAGATGAAGCGCGCCACCATGGAGCCCAGGTTGTTGACAATATCGTAAATGCCCTGGTCTCCGAAGCTGAGGACGTTCAGGAAGGTCATGACGTAGCGCTCGCCCTCTGTTAGGATCTGCTTCAGGAAGGACTGCTTAAAGAAGCTCCATGTGAGCCGGGCCAGAGCCCAATCGACCAGAGGCTTTTGGTAAAAATAAAAATAAAACGTTATGCATTGTGATTTTGTTGAAACAAACAATCTGTAATGCTTCAAGTCTCTAACCTCTCCATCAGCTCTGCAAGGCAGTAGATCTGCAACACGCTGCAGAGGGAAACTCTTCTTTTCTGCCTCTTTAGAGCCCAAGAAACGTAGGAAGTAAACAGCGTAGCATAGCACCAGAAACCCTGTGTACACCAACTGAAAAAAGCACATGAATTAAAATCCTTTCTGTGTACTTACAGAAAGGAATATACAGCGGGCCTTCAGCTGATTTTCTTACATGAGCAGCAGAAAAGATGTAAAGGCCCCATTCTCTGGCGAACACCACCAACACCACAGTCACACTGCACTTGGCGATCATCGCTAAACTCTCTGCAACCACTTTCAGACTGACAAACATGTGTGCTTGAGCCAAGATCCAGAGAGGCTCGGCCAGGAGCTCCTGCACTCCCGACAAGGCGAACAGCACCACAGCGGGACCGTAGTAAGGGACCGTCTGGGAATCTGGGACCTCCAGGAGCCACAACCACACACAGCCAAGAAGGATGGCCCATAACACACCGAGAGGCACTCTGAAAAGATAAGACAGAAATCTGATTGGTGCATCGGAGATGAATAAATAAAACATCATCCTTGTTTTTGTGTTTCAGTTGACTCACGTCAGCCACAGGAGGTTAATAACTTGTCTCCAGCTGCGGTTTGTCCCTGATTCTCCACTCAGACAGGCTCTCCTGAAAGCCTCTCTGGACAAAAATACTAATGTGGAATACAGAAGCGTAAGCCTGTCACATGGGAAAACAAAGAGAACACACAGGTTACAGCAGGTGGAGCACTGAGACCATCCAGCAGTGTCTTGTATCTGTACCTGACGTTGACCACCCCGATCAGCTCTTTGGACACGAACCGCAGCGTGAACGCGTTCAGAAGGAAGGTGAGGACACGGAACATCACCTGACATTAAACCAGGGCACACACACACCAACAGTTATTAAATGATTCCCAGAACTAGGTCACCCAGAGCTCAGCCAATATATTTACCTGTAGCAGCACATTATAGGACGCCAAAGTGGACGCATTTTTGAGCACGTCCTGAGTCGAGCTCATTTTTAGACTCTTTAAAAACTTCTGTCAGGAGTGAAGTTGAAAAAAATAACGCTGCTTTGTCTGTAAACACATCATATAGTCATTCTGGAAGGATTACCATTGAACAAAGTTTAATTCAATAGCCGTCAAATCCCGAGGAGCAGAAGCACTTCCGTACACATTTTTCGGACCGGACGTTGCGTGATGACGTCATTAAAAAAAGGTATGTTCGCACTTCCGCCGCTAGAGGGCGACACAATCCAACTGACATCTTATCGTGTGTGCCATTTTTATTTAATTTTTTACTGGTGATGATTATACTCTCTACTTAGCATTTAAATATACAGTTTATAGATTATTAATACTAAATTATATTGCAATTATCACGGGCAAAAAGCTAATTTATTTACTGAAATAGCTGTCAGTTGATGAACATTTTTGCATCTTTCTGACAATAGTTCCTGAACATTAAAAATGACCAAACTGTCAGGTTTTTAAGATGTTTTTTTTTCCTTATCTCTAAGGGAAATAGTAAGCTTAACAGCAGCAAGTGTTTAAGTTTTATATTTGATTTGGTTCATCAACAAAAGATGCGAATGAGACTAACCTGTATAAAGGTTGAACGAATGTGCAAGTCTTGAGTTTTAATTCAACCTTTATTTATACAGGTTAGTCTCGTTGAGCCTTGAGAACTCATTGACAAGAGAGACTTGATGAGTCAGTCATTGTTTCTTTATAATTTGCTTCTGAAGAGCCAGACTGTGATTTTAAGTGGTCTTGCTCAAAATGTCTTAAAAATTTTCTGAAGTTCTTTCAAAGGTTGAGTTGACAGAATGCTTGTTCACTAATTTTTATGCAGTACCTGAGCACTGGCAGAAGAATGTTAAGCCATTTACCTCTGACCTATAAAAAATCCTTAGAAATCCAAACCATTGATCAAAATCCCTTTAAGGGATTACCAGTACAAGTCTGGTTTCTTGAGTACAAAAAATGACTCAAAGAAATTTGTTGAAATATTTATTTCATGTTACTCATGTGTGATAGTTTAACAAATCTTTCATCATTTATTTGAATTTTAAAACTATTTCTATTACAGTTCTGAGAATTTCAGCTTTTAATTCTTAAATTATTAGATATACTGTATAAATTCCAGCACAAGCTTGGGCGTTGTCTTTTTTAAATCAGATGTAAAATATGGAGAGACAATATAAAAGTACATCCTAATGAACAAATATACATGTAAGAACAATATACATCTACAATGTTTATATACAGCATTTTAGTAACACCCTACTCATGTAACATTAATAAAAACTGCAAAGACAGCTACATTCGGTCTGTTCGTTCTACATGTAGGTGCTAAATATACAGCAAAGTACAGCTGCTTAGAATTCAATTTGATGATCATACTGTTCGTTTAATTTATCAAATCAAATACAAGAATTCAGATATTTTAGAAAGATAACATTCATTATTCTATATTTTGATAAATGTGTTATTGGCCTTGGAGACATACACATGCAACACAACCTACAGCTGAAGTAAAAACAGTACAGTTTATGTTTTCCCTCTTCACGATTTTCTATCAGTTGGACTGAGCTGCACGTAAAACAAGAAACAAAAAGGCTGCAGACGGTTGCAGTGACGTCATGTGACATGTAAAGATTTTTAACATCCCACCATATTATTTATTATTACACATACTGGCTATCAAAGCCTTGTACAATAATAGGCATGCATACAAATACAACATCAATATATACAGTACAAGGACTTGTTTCTAGATGTACCCAAGGTAAAGTTACATAAATACTGAATCAGGAACAACTCACTTCTCTCTGTGAGTAAGTGAACCGTTCCATCAACAACAGGAGAGTCTCCCGAGTCAGACGGACGTTAAAAATAATCACTTTTCTAGAAGGTGCTCCATCTTGGGGTTTATGAAGGAAAAACCAGCAAATGCAGACTGGTCCATGGAATCTATGAAGTTCTTATCGCTGTAAGAAAGCCGTGGCTTCTCGTTGAGGAACTCCCGATCAAAGTTGCTGCAGTCATTTGGTGCTTTCTGTAAATAAGTAAGAGCAAATAAATAAATCTCAGCAAGTGAGCTATAGTTTTAAACTATTCCATTCATCGTCTGTAACAGGAATGGAGCGTACCACTTTGGGTTTGAAGGGTGGTTCAACCTCTTTCCTCTCCAGCGCCTGCCAGTCGATGGTCCTAAAGAAAGGCTGTGTGGTGATGTCACCAACGACTCCTAGCCTGCGTGTGGGGTCTCTCTCAAACAGCTGTAACAAAAACAAAAAAACCCCGAAAGACGTTACATTAGGAATGCACCTCTTTATGTCCAAACTTGTAGGGTTACAAATATTGCGTTAACATATAATGCTTAAGTTTTAACAAATAAAGAAAATCCTTTGGAAACTAACTTTTTCATGAGGGGAAATCAGTTGTTAGTGGCTCCAAAATGTATTCCTACACTATGAAAATGTCAATTTCAAGAAGTATGTCTATTTTAAAGAAAGAATAGCATAACATTTCCATCAAGTAGATTAAAAAGACTGTTCATTTCTAGGTGACAGTTGAGGATGTCAAAAGTATAAATAATAATACTTAAGAAAAAAAACTTAGTAAAGTGTACTTTTTCATGAAAGCATGGGTCACGGTTCACAACTTAAAGCTACAACCTGCCAGAGAATCATTGATAAGCTTAAAAAAGCTTTAAAAAAGCAAGAATTTCAGATTTCAGGCATTTAGACTGGATATTATGAAAAGATTCAGAAAGGTTGCTTTAAGTTCAATCCCACAAATCACAGCTGGATGTGACCTTCAAGTCTTCATTCCGCTGTGATCAACATGTGCTCAGGTGCACCGAGAAAACTGGTACAACAATCTGCTGCCACTTCCAGAAATGTAACTTCAAACCGTTTTATCCAAAGAAAGTCTCACACAGAGAAAAATAACTGAAGCACATGGTAAACTTACTGAATAAACTACTTTAAATACACAAATCTATTGAATTTAGGTGTTTTAAACTCAAGATAATTTTGTCAAAGTAAGACAATATATGTATTTTGAGGAACCAGTTAAATTAGGTCAATTCAACGCGGGCTTTATTTTAGAATTTGTTTGTAACTAGTATCAAATTAAAACTTTGTTAAAAACAATGTGTATATATATATTTTAAAACAATACCAGTAATTGAGAATACAAAAATATTCCCCTTCCCCTGGTGCCTTTTAAATAAAAGTTCAAATTATTAACCAATAAACAGTGTTATGGTCTTTCTGAAAACTTTTGTTTTTATTTATTAACCTTCATTGACCCAAGCAAACCCCTTTGAGATCACTGCTCTCTTGCAGGGGCGGCCTGGGCCTGAACGCAGCCTAAACATGCAGGTTTTGGACTGTGGGAAGAAACCGGAGTACCCGGGGAAAACCCACGCAAACACGAGAACGTGCACACTCCACACAGAAAGACCCCCCTGGTCCAAACCAAGGATTAAATCTGGGACCTTCTTGCTACGAAGCATCAGCGCCAACCACAACGATGTCATGCTGCGTCGTGCTAAGAATAAAAGTTTGAATTAATGTAATGAGATTTCATTTTCAGTCCTCAATGCAGAAATTACAACATTTGATTACTAGATATTCTTCGGTAGATGAAATCAGGTCTGGATTAAAATTCCTGTCTCTATCTATACTGTTAAATATGGAGGGTTTTTTTTCTCATACACACAGACTTTCCACAATCAGATCCTGACGACTGAATGTTGACTTTAGTACAAAGTACGGTACCTTTACCAGCTGGATTTTTCAGTGCATGAAAACGGACTGTGAGTTTATGAGTGGGACTAGGCCTGTCACGATAACAAATTTTGATGGGTGATTGTCTCAGATTATTGCGACAAACGATAATATTGTTTGAAATTTGACAATAATTAGTAATTATTGTAAAATTTAAGAAGAAATGTTGGTAATTTTTGTGTGTAGTAGCCTTTTTGACCACCGGATGGCAGTATAAGACTGTCTGAACCTAAGGATGGATAGTGAGGGAGCGAGCAGCGAGTCTCTAAGAAAAATGGGAGGGAGGCCTCTTGACGTGACATGGGCTGTCTCTCCTTTTCGGTTCTCGAAATGGTGGACGCTCAGTGTAGTTTGAGCTCTTTAGCATAACATTTTTCACACACAGCTTTTAATTTAAAAAAATCCGTAAACAAGTTCTCAGCTTCTTTTTGCAGAGAAAAACAACTTTTTACACGAAGACACAAGTTTCAACCGTGAATTTTGGAGCTTCGACAAGACGGAGGTTGAACTTGTCTCTTTTTTAAAGTGTTTCTGCTTTCTTAAGAGAAAATTTCATTCATTTCTTTTAGGAAAGCATTTTGTTAAGAAATAAGTGTGTTAAATGTTTTGATCAATTAACAAAATATTGCTTCCCTTTATCTAATAATCTTCTTATGCCCATTCATGATTGCTGATAGTTTTTGTCTGGGGTACTTAAAATAAAACGTTTAGCACTGACCCGCTCGAGCAAGCTTTTGGCCTCCTTGTTGATCCAGCGGGGATAGTGAGGCGTGTCCATGCGGATGGACTCAAACAGCTCGTCCTCGTCATCTCCGTGAAAAGGCGACTGGCCAACCAGCATCTCATACAGCAGGACCCCAAACGACCACCAGTCAACTGAGAACGAATATTTCTGACCCAGCAGAATCTGGATCGAAACAAAAGTTAGAAATAAATGGATTTGCAAACATGGGTGCAGACTGGACTATTTTAGAACAGGGGGGTGTTTATAGAGTTGGAGAGCTGCACCTCGGGAGCGATGTAGTCAGGAGTACCACAAAACGTCGTGGCGCGATTCTCTCCAAACACGTTCTCCTTGCACATCCCAAAGTCAGCGATCTTTATGTGGCCCTCATAATCCAGCATCACATTGTCTAACTTCAGATCTCTGAAAAAAGACGAGAATGTAAATAAATGGGAGAAAATTGAAGATTTTTTAAAAAGGGGAATTTGCCATTTACACAACTACTTTGTCTCGAAAATTATCCCTAAAATAAAAATGTTTGGCTATCGATGCTTAATAAATAAAGTATTAGCCTCTAAAAATGTACTTCAGAACATTATTTAAGACTGTCCTAATATATATCAAACCACAGCTTTTCATAGTGTTGGTACCAATTACTACAGGTTGTATTTCAAAATAATATTCTGCTAATAGTTTTGAATAAACAATTTTCACATTAAAACTACACTTGAATTTTATTCAGATCAAAAGGCTGCAGACATCTGAGCAAATGTGTTGTGTTTCAATAAATTCATCAGCTGCTCTAGTTTTACACAAGCTCCAGCCCAGTCTTCGTCTTTTTACATTTACACCCTCAGCTTTCTTAACAGCCCGTACTCGTGACTGCAGTACCACACAACGGTATTTAAACTTTCTGGAAGAAAAAAAAAAACATCAATATGTGTGGGATTACCAAACTGAGCAGTTCTTCAGTCTCTGCAAGTTCATTTACACACTGAACCTGCAGCTCGACTGAAAGGACTGGTGGTAAAAATAAATAGTTAAAATTACAAAATGGTCATCTGGGAAGTTTAAAAAAAAATCGTATTTTGAAGCATATTTGCTGTATACTGAGGGCGACTGCTGAATGGTTTGATACATTTTGTGCTGACCTGTAGATGATTCCTTTGGAATGTAAGAACCGAAGACCACAAATGATCTCAGCGGAGTAGAACCTGGGAGAACAGACGGCAGAGACAGACAGATATCAGCCACTCATCTCCAACAGAAAGCTGCCGCTCTGCTCAGCAGCCGGCTCACTGCAGGGTGGACAGATGAACACTGGTGTCACTGCAGACTCCTTTCAGCGTAGGCCTGAATTATTGAGGAGAACATTTGTATGGAGTATAAGACAAGTGACTAACATGCCCATAATGTGAAACCCAAGATGTTCTGTGAGCTGAACGATTAGCCAATAGATGACCCGCTTCTCTCGCCATGTGCGAAGTGAAACAACTGAACCCTGGAGGCAGTCGCCAATCTAACCAACTTTCTGGTTTAATTCAATTCAGTTCATTTATATAGCACCAAGTCACAACCGAAGTCATCTCAGGGTACTGAACAGAAGCACTCATATATAAAATGATAAGTTAACATTTAAATAATAAGTTAACATTATTTATCTGAGGAACAGACTGCTTTGAATTTAACTCCATTGCAGAACTCTTATCTTGAGCAAGCATGAAGGTGAAAGGAAAAACTCGAGGAAGAAACCTTTAGCAGAACCAGGCTCAGGACAAGCGGCCATCTGCTTCGACCGGCTGGGTTTGAGAGGAACAGATACACAATGGCAGGTCAAGAATCGCATGTTAAGATAGAAATAATATCAAATGAAAACTATTCAATTTTAGTAAATCATTTTAAGAAATGAGGTCAATTTGTCCTCTAGTACTCGAAGCCTAGAGATGCAGAACAAGCCAACTCTAACTATAGGATTTATCAAAAAGAAAAGTCTTAAAACTGGATAATGTGTCAGCCTCACAGACAGAAACTGGAAGTTGGTTCCACAAGAGAGGAGCCTGATAACTGAAAGATCTTCCTCCCATTCTGCTTTTGGAAACTCTAGGGACCGCGAGTAAGCCTGCAGTCTGAGAGTGAAGTGCTCCGTTAGGAAAATATGGAACAATAAGATCTGTAATATAAGATGGAGCTAGGTTGTTGAGTTTTGTAGGTTAGAAGTAAGATTTTGAATTCAATTCTGGACTTGACAGGGAGCCAGTGGAGAGAAGCTAAAACTGGAGAGAGAGATATGATCTCTCCCACTAACTCCAGTTAAGACTCTGGCAGCAGCATTTTGGATTAACTGAAGACTTTTTAAAAGAAGTATTTGGACACCCAGATAATAAACCATTGCAATAGTCCAGTCTAGATGTGACAAATGCATGAAACAGTTTTTCTGCATCATTTAAAAAAAAAAATTTGGTCTGGTTTTTAGCTTTTCAGTATCTCATGTCACGTATCAGTGACAAATATTGTGTAGCTCAAGTTAGAGCGTACACTCAGATATATAGATAACACTTTACTGTAAAAACAAAAATACAGAACAACGTAAAATTAAGCTCAAAGTCTTTCAAGTAGAAATAACTTGGCTTTAGCTAAGTCAGCAGCACAGAAACAATGAACCACACAGTCTGTGAAAATTTCACAAGTTAGCAGGAGTTACTAGCTTAAGAGGTCATCTGAAACAAAAAGTGTTGCATAGATATACAGATAGCTCCAAAACTCTCCATTTGACTGTGGCAGCTTGTGCAGCAACAACACATCATCACAGTCTCATACAAACTGTATGTACCTTGTAGAAAATTGATGCCTAATTTACGATAATGGGACTTTTTGTGTGATGCAGGGACAGTGGTGCAGCAACAACTGCACGGAAATGGCACACACCAGAAGTTGCATTTAAATTTGAAATGTTCAATTTAACATTAAAACCAGTTACCAGGGGCAGGTTAGGGACAAAGACAAGATGGAAACAGTCACGAGGAATTTTAAAACATTGCACGTTTGAGCTGTGCCTGAGTAAATCTTATCACTGAACCCTAATAATCTGCAACAATTATATGTAATGCTCATTTAATCATCTTAATTTTTTTAGGTTTCAACACATTTCAAAATGAAGCATGCATATTGTCTGCCACCTTGCAGGTTGAAGATTTAACCAAAAATCTTGAGATTTGTTAACAAGCTGGAAGTGACTCTCAGACACTAACGCACCAAATCTTACATCAATATCTGTAAAACTGAATTAAAATTCATCCAGTGGTTCATAACATATTTTGCTAACAGACAGATGAACACACACACAAAGACAGAAGCAACTAAAAATATATGATAAAAAGTGGCAGGAGGCCAATGTGCCACAGCCAATGAAGTAAAGAGGATTTTATTTCTAACAGGTGATGTTAAAAGGTTATACTTATATTTTAGTACAAAAGAAGACCATAAAAATTTAACCTCGGAGAGGTAAAAAGGGCAGTGCATGTCTAGTTCGTGAACAAACTTGATCGAGAATTAGTTTAACATTTAAAAACAATGAATGTTTCTTAAGGGATGTGCATATTTCTTCCACTGAACAGCACAGTATAACCAATAATCTAAAAGGGATTTCAGATTATAAATAGCATGAAAATACATCTCTGCTGGACACTCAATCTCAGATTCCACTCATAATAAAGCTCATTTATTAAAAGCAGATGTAACTACATAAAATACATCATTTAAAGTAAAAAATTATGAGTCTTTCACTTAAATACTGATTTTTCGTCGTGTAATTTTAAAGATACAAACAAATAAGGCATAAATAATTATATTTCTGACCACTCTACAGATGTATGCAGCAGGCCAGACTTTCAACAGAAGTGCGTGTCGTGTGATGATGTAACCTAATATCAAGAGTTATTTGTTTGAATCTCAGATATGACGCATTTCTGTGTTTTCTCTGCCCGCTCCTGTTCCACCAAGAACGCACACGTGGTGACTCTAAACTGAGCATGCATGGATGGTTTCAAAGGGTATATTTTGTTACAAGACCATAAAAACACATTTTAACTTAGCTGATAAATAAACACAAGAATTATTTAGTGCATTAACTGTCTGAGATGAAGTTAACTCAAAATCAGAGCAAGAATTACTACTTTTTGTTGGGATGTGCATTTTCTGTGCCATCCTGAGATTTTGATTTGAAGATGTAAACCAAAAATAACAGGAAACCAATCAAACGACTGTTTTAGTATAAATCCTCTCGCGTTATTTGAGAAAACACAGAATGATAACTAGGGATCCAGGATATTGGATTTTTGGCCAATATCCAATACGCCAACATGTTAAAATTTATTTGTCAGATAACCAATACAAATACCGAAATATATATAAAAAGCAGTGCCTTTTATATTGGTGGATTCTTTTGATGGAATGGTCAATGTCTGATATTTAACTTTATCGCTAATACTGGCCGATACCGATACCATGCCGATAATATTGTGCATCCCTAATGGTAACACATACCAGTAAAGAAAAAAGCTAGATGAAAAACCCCTATATTTTTTAAATTGCTTATTTTTATTACCCTCATCACTCACTGACATTGCAAATAAAATGGCTGTAAAAGTGAGTAACAAAAGGAAATGCAAACCTTTGCTGGTTTCAGTGAATATACAGTAAAGTCTCAATTGATAATGAAGCGATACGAGACCAAACATGCAACTGTAGTGAACCTGATCTGACCCTGATCTGACCCTGATCTGACCCTGATGACCTCAAATCTATCAGATGGACAGAGACTGTTATTTTCATTGATCTGAATACAGTCTGAGCCATCTGGTGACTTTCTTTCTTGAATTAATCAAGCAGAAAAGACAATTCTCTATAATCATTTACTGTTTTACAAATGTTTGATAATCAAATTGTGTTAGTTCCATTCAATGCTTACAGGTTGGAAAGAACTACTCATTTTTATTTTACATAAACAGTAAGTAATGATTTTTATTCCTCATTTAAAGAAGAAATCAGGTTAATATGCATTTCTTGATTCTCTGTCTGAAATGAGCCAAGTAATGTAAGTATGTGAAAGTTGAAGTTTCGGTCAACTAAATGTTTACTGAAAAAGAAATGTCATGTTTTACTATTTGAGAAGATACAACAGCGTGAGACTCCACGAAGTCTGGTCGTCTGCAATAATCTTTTCTGTATGTTGAAAACAATCCTTGACTTATGATAACATCTTACATCACAAAAACACACCTCTTTCTGGTCCATCGACCAATCAAAAGCTCTCAAATGAACCGGAAGTCGACCCATTTTAAATGTGGCAACTTCCCAGTTCATGTTAGAATTGAGAAGGGAAGAGAATTCAGAAGAATTCCAGAGGATTCGAGAGTACAGAGTTGCTGACAATTAAGAGTCTGAAAAGTTCTGAAGTATGAAAGGAGTTCAGTATTCTTGGGTGCAAACGCATTCAAGATGGTCCAGAGACGTTTTGGAATTATAACTTCTGTTTGAACAAACCACACACGACTATCTAAGGATTTCAGCCGCTCTCAACGGAGACGCTGAAAGGTCTGGAGGATTCTCTATCGAGCTGATCTATCATCTACCAGGTAACGGTCTCTTCTTCGACTAAAGTGTACCGGAGGCGAGCTGAGATCTGATGAAGCGTGCACGTTCTGGTCAAACAGATTAATTCCCTCACATAGTTCTCTGTAAGATAAATCTCCATGTCATCTTAAAACTCTCCTCTTTCTCATAAAATCAGTACAGATATTTTAGAAATATCTGAAGCAAAGTCCTCGTTCACCGCCGAGTGATCGATGCTCATTTTCTGTGAAACTTGTCTGTTATTATTTTCATATTTTGCCAAATTAATGTAAATGTTTGATGTTAAACTTTGATTCTGAAAATAAATGACCGCATTCATTTTGATGGGTCAAAGATAAATGACGTCTCTCGTTACATTTCTGTTAAATTCAATGCACGACATTACACAGTCAGAAAGATGAGGAACTCGTGAATATTGTATCAATATATATCTCATATATTGTCATACTACAACTAGTGGCACGTACCCACGTGTTCACTACAACTGGTGGCCCGTACGGCTCATAAATGACTGTAAAAACGTGTAAGATTGATTTACGTGTTGGCATGTATGTTAAAAAGTAACAGTTTATCAGCTGTGATTGAAACGCAGCCGGTGCTGCGCGTTTGGAGCTTGGCTGTGCGTGTTTACGCAGCGAGCTGGAGCTGCGCGCTTACACCTTTGCTGTCACGCTGGCAATGTTTTAAAAGCTGAAATTGTGTCATTGAGTCTTATGAAAGCTGACATTGTACGCCTGTTACGTGTAACTAAGCTTATGAGCTGTGCAAACGTTGATTCTGTTTAAAAGACGAGGTTCTGCTGAAAGACCAGGACTGTGGTCCGGTTCTGTTCAGTTTGAACGAGTATTTTGAATAGATGGATAAACGTTTTAAAAGCTGAGCGCCGTCTCAGAACACAGTTAGGAGTTATTCGTTACAATTTTTAACAGAAAAAGTGCATTTTGACAGTTTAAAAGACGAAAAGCTGACGAACTATTTTCAGGCTGAATCTAGCATGCTGGTTGCTAAAACGCTGCGTCATTGGTTGGTACCCACGTGTTCACTACACAAACTTATAAATAAATGTACTGCTAGATAATGAAATAAACTCTACCCATCTTTCTCGTGGAGGCTAAACTATTCAGGATGAATAGTCACTGACTGAGCAGGACTTTGGCAGCTGTCAACATAAGATCAGGTTTCAGTGTTTACGAGTTGGTCCCGTCAACTCACAACCCGTTTTAATGGAACTATGGGAGTAGTGACATCAGTTCGAAGAAAAAAAGAAAAAGCAGAACTGGTTTATTTTGAAGCGCACACACACAAAAAAAATGAACAAATTGTGTATTTAATATGTTCCTACAAATATCACACACCATGATCATTACTCTTTTATTTATCCAATTTAAGTCGAACTTGTGAGTTTCACAGCATCTACTGAGAAATGTGCATAAAAGTGTGACTTTTTAAAACTTCAGTTGGTTGAAGTGATACCAAGTTTTGGACTTTTTCCATACATTTTTGTTAACAGCTTGCCATTGTTTTACTGGAGGGATTCCCACAGTGTGATGAGAGGTGGGCGTTAGTAACCAGTACCTCCTCATAAACACAACAGTACACAGGCGCGACAAGTTTTTCACTCTTCACAAGGTCTGACTGCGATTGAACAGGAGCTAATAGAAATAAGCCAGCCTCTTACTTATTTGTCTTCAGTGCATAATGTACAAGGAAAACACAAACATTATAGTGAAGATATTAAGAAGCAGCATTTACTCATTGATGAGCAGAGGTAAGACTTACGTGGCTCTGTAAAGTTCAAAGCGTCCTTTCTCCTGAATATGGAACATCAAATCCCCTCCATTCAAATACTCCATCACGAAGAACAGATGCTCCTGAGAAAAAGATCCATTTTCAACGTCAGGAACAGATTCCTAATCAACAATTTGACTGAAATGTGGCCATAGTTATTGAGTGAGGAGGGGGAGTACCTTTGTCTGGAAGGTGGAGTAAAGATGGGTGAGGAAGGGGTTTTCCCAGGCTAAGGCTAAGACCCTCTTCTCTATCATGGTGCACTCCACATCATCATCCATCAGCACAACATCTTTTTTTAGAGCCTTGACTGCAAAATACTCTCCTTGACCCTTGAGCTCTGCCAGGAGAACCTACAAGAGAAAAGATAAAAATGTTTGTGTATACATCCAATTAATCGTTTTATTAAACATTTACAATCCATCAGTTCTGCAAGAGCAGGAAGAAAAGGTAAAAATTGCATTCCACTGGAGGGTACCTTGCCAAAGCTGCCTTTTCCGAGCACCTTGTGGAAGATGAAGTGGTCCACATTGACACGAGTCAGATGGGTAATACGAGACTGTGGTCGCTGAGTGGAGCCTTCCCACAGTTTGCCGTAGGGAGACCCTTCTAATGGCCAAACAAGTTATCGCATAAGACATTATTTAGTTACACAATTAACTGAAAACTTTTGTGATAGTTGTAGAGCACCCATGCATGCATGCAAAAAATTTAATTAATAAACAAATAATGCTCACTGACCAGAGATGTCAAGCCCAGCGAGCTTGTTTACTTCATCGTATATTCCGATGTCAGGCAGGTTAGGATCTGAGCGGCGCGTCGACGATTTCTGAAAAAAATTATCATGAAACGTCCAGACAAATAACTTGTTGGCAATCTAGCTGCAGTACATAAACAGCAAACACATTGAATCTGATCATTCTGTCTTTATCAATCCTTAGAGGAACGTTTCCAAAACAAACACAAACAACACATTTGTTCAGCCATGGAGCTGTAAAGATCTAACAAGCAAAGTCGGTTCTTTAACACCTTGAGACAAAAAGCTTGTTAACATCTGTCGTGTTGTGTTGGAGAAACCGTCAACAAAAGCTGCGAGATGAGAACGGAAACATTCCAGATCATGGACACTTATTTTTGTCCTGAGCTTGGTTCTGCTGGAGGTTTCTTCCTCATGAGGGAATTTTTCCTTTCCACTGTTGCCTCTGTGCTTGTTTAGGATGGGAGACAGCGATGAAGTGAAAACTCAAAGCAATCTGTTAGCTCCTTAAATAAATAACGTTATTAAAAGGACTTTATATGTATGAATGTTTCTGTTCAGTGCCTGAGACGCCTTCTGTTGTGATTTGGAGCTATATAAACAAACTGAACTGAATTGATAATGATTTTGTTAATGAAGAACATGTTACTGCATTTAACATAAGTAGATATTTATGTTTGTAAGGTCCATCTCTAGATCTTCTTGTGAGCTATTTAGTGTTTTACTCTCAGCAATATATGCAACTTGGCAAGCAATAATATAAATATTTCACCACTGACCTTGTCAAACAATACTTTAATAATAATGTAAATATAGAGTAAAAAAAAAAATAATTCTAAAGAAAGATAACTCCTAAAAAGGAATCCGACCAATTTTGTGAGTAAATTTGTTACAGCAATTTAGAAGCGGTTTAATCACATGATAAATGAAAATTGTCAATTTCATTTTCATTTATCGGCTTTATCGTTTCTTCGTGTCTCTCTCTTTCTACTGAAGACACTGGACGACAAAAAGCTCAACTCCGGTGCTCTTCACTGACCCCTCCTTTCTCTTTAAAATCCATTTTAACGATCCAAAATTGCGTTTTTGGATCATTAAAAGCAGCTAAACTGAGAAGCTAAGCAACAAACTAAGCTAACAGGTCGACCTCGGAAAAAAAACCTTCGTCTTAGCGAAGCTCCAAAATTTACGGTTGAAACCTGTGTCTTTGTGTAAAAAGTTTTTTCTCTACAAAAAGTAGCTGAGAACTTGTTTACTGGTTTTTTTTTTTATGAAAAGCTTTGTGTGAAAAATTATATGCTAAAGAGCTCAAATCACACCGAGCATCCGCCATGTTGAGAACCAAAGGGAGACAGCCCAAGTCACGTCAAGGGGCCTCCCTCCCATTTTTCTTAAAGAGACACGCTGCTCGCTCCCTCACTATACATCCTTCTGTTCAGTCTTATACTGCCATCCGGTGGTCAAAAAAGGTATTACATGCAAAACAAATTAAACGTTTCTTCTTAAATTTGACAATAATTATTAATTATTGTCAAATTTCAAACGATATCGTTTATCGCAATAATTTCTGAGACAATCACCCAGCAAAATTTGTTATCGTGACAGGCCTATATAAAAATGTAATTATACACTTTACTGTGGCCTTAAACAGCTGAACGCACTTGACTGGATGACTCAATTTAGGGCGATGTCCACAAACTCACCTGGCTGACTTGTGTTAGTGCTTCAGCAAGTAGTTTCTGGTTGATACCACAAAGGTTGGCTACTTTATCCTGACACTTGTGATGGACGTTCATCGCACAATCTAAAAACAGGAGGAAAAATAAAATCTGTAAGTCACTAAAATCCAGCCACACACTAGCTGCCATCTGTTTAATCATATCTGCACTGTACCTTCACACTTGAGGCCTTGTTTGACCAGACCCCACAGCAGACTGCCACAGTGGTCACAGAAGGTGGGGCTCATGTAGTTGTAGGTCTTGAAACGGTGCGGCATGTCGATTTTAAACCGCTCCTTCTGGAACTGTTGGAATAAAAAGTATTTCTCTTACTGTGGTAAATCAGTTCTGTAAAACGTAGGCACCTGCTGTATCATATATGAGGTGTGTGTGTGTGTGTGGGGGGGGGGGGGGGGGGGGCTTTGCTTTCTCACTCAGTTTTAATTGTGGAAAGTCATCTCATTGCTGGATGGAAAGTTTCTTCCCAGGTGTATCTCTGGTCTTAATCAAAAGAATGGGTTGTACGAAATTACTTTTACATTACCTGCATTTAGGTCCACTGGACTTTAATATTCCCCATTAGTGATCTAAAGGTCCTTTGGAAAGGAGAACCTGATTTGAACATAAATGATGTAATTACATGGGTAAGCTGACTCCTGGTTGGAATAAATTTTCTGTAAACCAGTAATTGGCCCAATTGTAAAGTCAAAAGTCAGTTGCTCAATATTTTTTGCAGCAGATCTGACACAAAGTCAGGAGAGGTTTCTGCATCACTGTGAAGAATACATCAAACTGTGTTTCCAATAATATGCTGAATGAGTAGAATATAAACATTGTTAACGCTGAGTCATCCTACCAGGTGCTCAGCTCACATTTACTAGAAAAGGCAACATATCTGCTCACCATTCTTTCTTGTGAGGTAAAAATAAATCCTAAAGACCATCACCGATGCGATTTGCAATGAAACGTCAAATTTAAATATCGGGATATTATTTAAAGTTTGTCAGAAGTTTTGAGAAAAGGTCTGTACAGATGTAATCTGAATAAACCCTAACGAGGTGAGGCATGGTGGAAAATCCCTGCTTGCTGTTAGAGGTAATAAAACAAATCAACTACACACGACTTAAAAAAAAACTTTTTTTGCACAACAGTCACAGTTTGACAAGGTCAAAGGTGTGGTTGAGAAGAACATAAAACAAACACGAGAGTCACAGTTTACTATAACATTCAAACAGTAT